CTATCTATCTATCTATCTATCAATCAATCAATCAATCAATCAATCAATCAATCAATCAATCAATCAATCAATCAATCAATCAATCAATCAATCTATCTATCTATCTATCTATCTATCTATCTATCTATCTATCTATCTATCTATCTATCTATCTATCTATCTATCTATCTATCTATCAATCAATCAATCTATCTATCTATCTATCTATCTAGCTATCTATCTATCTATCTATCGCTCCACACCCCTCTCTCTCTCTCTCTTCTACGACACCAACCGATGCCGCGCGCGCTGCATGCTGGGAAGCCGGCACGTACACCGCAGCGCGTGTGCGCGGGAGAGAGCGTGAGCAGTGCTGCTACTGTCGGGCAGTACGCTCGCACGCACGCCCGCACGTCTGCGTTAGCCCTGCTGCGCCTGCCTGCAGTGAGGACGGTGTGTAAGTAAGTAAGCACGCACGCGAAAGTGATTCCCAAACAGAGAGCTCTCCCTGTGTCATCGGCGATGCATTGTCGGCGCCGCGCGGCAGCCGACGGTTACGACTGACAGGAAATCGGACGGCTGTGCGTTCAATCAAGCCGACAAGCGGCCGAGGGGTCTCACCGCCGAGTCTGTGTGTGAACATAGACTGCCGTCGCTTGCTCCCCGCTCTCGTTCGTCGCTCCGTAGCGCCGGGGAAGCGGTGACAGACTATCGGGTACCCCCATTTTATTGTTTACCCTCGCGCGGCGGTGGCACACACAATTCGCTCGCGTGTGGTGTCGTGATTGGAGGGAAGATTCCTATCGGGAGAAAAGATCCACGGAGGAGAAGATCCCAATCGGTAGGAAAGATCTACGGAAGGAACAGATTCTACTCGCGGTCAGAGAGAGAGGCTCTCTAGCTGTCAGTCTCGCAGGGAAAACTCTTCGTCGTGATGCTTTCCCGATAGTGACACGTCGTCGGGGCGGCTTGCCTACACGCATACGCAAGCAGTGCCACTAGGGACCTCTATATACTCGACTCGGCAGCACACGATGTGAGGCGCTACTCTGGCAGCGGCGCGCGCACGTACGCGCACTCATCATTTTACGGTTAGTACAATTGAGCGGGCGAGAGCCGTATACACACACGTATCGACACGGGCAGCACTCGACGCTGAGTGAAGACTCGTAGCCGAGAGAGCGGATAGCGTGAATTCTATGATTCTAAACTTGACACCGTCTCTTCACTATACGTCCATGCGAATTAAGGTGAGCGATTAATTACAGATCAGTAATCAGTATACAGCCGAGAAGCGTGTATAATGAATGAAGCATGCTTGCGCCTCTGCATGCGTCTTATATATTAAAAATATTGATGTTAATTGCATTCAGACAGCGGGCCAAGGTGCTGGAGAAAAAAACGTGCGTGGCAACAGAACGCATATGCTCGTGGTTTGCGTGCTTGCTCTGCATGCCCACGCAGCCCTACAGGGTGAGAAGCATATGGCGAAGCATACAGAGCTACACAGGTAGAACTAGTGGCACGCGAGATCACTAGTAATAACAGCGCAGACATTGTATTTCCTAGTCGTATATCATAAAAATAATAGTAGTAGTAGTAGTAATAACAGTGGTACGTGGGAGCGCCGTGGCAGACCGGCGGGAGGGGGGGGGGATATACGTAACCATCACGGATATACGTAACATCAGACCCTTGCACGGCCGTGCGTAACGACACATGGTCGCTCAGCTAGCGTCTCGGTTTACGTGCATGCAAACGGCTTGAGAGAGAGAGAGAGAGAGAGCGAGCGAGAGAGAGAGAGAGAGAGCGCGAGAGAGCGCGCACGCAAGAGAGAGGTAGAGCGCGCGAGGGGGTGTGAGCGAGAACGAGAGAGATAAAAAATGAGAGCGAGCGAGAGAAAGCGAGAGCGAAAGAGTAGGGAGGCGAGAAGCGACGAGAGAGAGAGAGAGAGAAGAGAGAGAGAGAGAGAGAGCGAAAGCGATGGCAATTGAGAAAGGGGTGTTCGAGAGAGAGCAAGCGAGCAGGAAAAGGACAGCGAGAGCATGCAAGCGAGAGCGAGCGAGCGAGGAGACAGAGAGAGAGAGAGAGAAGAGAGAGAAAGAGAGAGAGACGGAAGAGAAGAGAGAGAGAGAGAGAGAGAGAGAGAGTAAGGAGAGAGAGAAAGAGAGAGAGAGAGGAGAGAGAGAGAGAGAGAGAGAGAGAGAGCGAGCGAGACGAAAGAAGCGAACGCGCGCGAGAGAGTGAGCTAGAGAGGGGAGAGAAAAGCGAAGTGCAAGGGCGAGAGAATGAGAGAGAGAGAGAGAGAGAGTGCGCGAGCGAGAAGTAGCGGATTTATTCTATATCGCTGCTGCCAAGAGTAAGATAATAACCCAAGAGTAAGTTAAATAGTAAGTTATTATCTTACTCTTGCTGCTGCTCGCTCGACCACATGGGACCGTGTAGGTGCTAGCCGTCCGGCTAGGAAGGTTAAAATAACTTAGTAACCCCATCATCTGCGACTGCGACAAACTAACAACGGACCTCGACTGATCGATCGTACGCATTGCTCATGAGATGTCCGGGCGTAAGAAGCGGGATAAGGGCATCTCGCGCGCGCGCGCACGAACGAGGTGCATGGGGCACGCTCACGAACTAGCTTGAGCCGCCCGGCACTTTTCTCGCCTCTAAATTAAGCTTGTAAAATCTCGTCAGTAGACGAATCCCTGCTCTCCCCGGCCGCAGCGGCTCTTCCGAAGCTACCGACAAGACCTAGCTTGCTGCTGCTGCTGCTGGGCTGCTACTCGCTGCTGGCTGCTGTATACTGCTGCTGCTGCTGCTGCAGCTACTGCTGGCTGCTACTGGCTGCTGCTCACTGCTGGCTACTGCTGCTTCTCCTGCTGCTGGCACGCTGCTGCTGCTGCTGGCAGCTACTGCTGGCGCTGCGCTCTGCTGGCTGGCAGCTGCTACTGCCTGCCTGCTTCTGCTGCGGCTGCTGTTGTTTGCTGGGCTGTCGTTGCTGCTGCTGCGCTGCTGCGCTGCTGCTGCTGCAGCTGCAGCTACTGCTACTACTGCTGCAGCTGGCTACTGCTGCTGCTGCTGGCTGAGATATGCTGGCTGCTTGATGCTAACTGCATGCGCTGTTGGCTGTTCTGTTGCTGCTGCTGTTGTTGTTGCTCTGCTGCTGCTGCGCTACTGGCTGCTGCTTCTGCTTCTGCTACTACTGGCTGCAGCTGGCTACTGGCTGCTGCTGCTACTGGCTTTTGCCCTGCTGCCCCCCGCCTGCTGCTGCTGCTAACTACTACTGCTCAGCTGCTACTGCTGCTGCTGGCTGCTTCTGCTGCTGCTGGAATTGCTGCTGCTGCTGCTACTGCTGCTGCTGAATACTGCTGCTGCTGCTGCTACTGGCTGTGCTGCTGCGTTGCCTGCGTTGCTGCTGTTGCGGCGGCTGTTGCTGCTGTTGCTGCTGCTGCTGCTGCTGGCTGCTGCTACTACTACTACTACTCTCCACTAGCTACTACTACTATATACTATCTAAGCTACTACTAACACTAGCTACTACTACTACTTACACTACACTACTGCTACTAACTACTACTACTACTACTACTACTACTACTACAACACTACTACTATAATACTAGTTACTACTAGCTGAGCTACTACTACTACTACTGCTAACACTGCACTGGCTAGCTGGCTACTGCTAGCTGCTGCTGCTGCTGCTGTTGTTCGTTGTTGTTGTTGTTGTTGTTGCTGGCTGGCTGCTGCCGCCGCTGGCAGCCCTTGCCGCCGCGCCGCTGCCGCTCACTCGCTGTAAACATAAGCACGTGATCGATGACGTACGTGTTGGCGGTGCCGTTATCGGACACCGGGATCGGCCGTGTCGGTGTGGGTCGTGGGCCGCGTCAGCAGAGAGACAGGCAGGCAAGGGCTTCTTCACGGGACATCGATTCTACAGTTCATCTTCTTCACGGAGCGTCAGACACGCATCGGCCGTCGTGCATCGTCATCATTATTGGGTGATCAGCAGTGGCAGGCAGGCAGACAGGCAGGCAGATAGGCAGGCAGGCAGGCAGGCAGGCAGGCAGACAGGCAGGCAGGAAGGAAGGCAGGAAGGAAGGAAGGAAGGCAGACAGGCAGGCAGGCAGGCTGGTAGGCGGTTTTTTATCTCAGGGTGTTTTATGCACTGGGACGATGGGTGGGTTATAGAGGTGTGTGTGTGTGTGTGTGTGTGTGTGTGTGTGTGTGTGTGTGTGTGTGTGTGAGAGAGAGTGTGTGTGTGTGTGGTAGAGCGAATGAAGCGTGAGTGCGAGACATGCGTTACCAGTTAGCGCCTGGTTTGTCCGCGTGTAGCTAGCAGCAGCTTCCGGAACCCCCTCCCTGTTTTTCTAACGCTCTCTCTCTCACTCTCTCTCTCTCTTCTCTCTCTTTCTCGTCATATATTTTCCTTTCTTTATCTCTCACCATCTCTCTATAATGTTGCTCGCATTGCCCCCTGCACAGCGAGGGTGCGATATGTGACTTTCACGGCGTTACAGTCTAATAATAAACGATGGGCAAAATGGGTCGCAGATCAATCAAAAGATTTCGCATTGAACAGTGGACGAATCTTTGTCCCTACACACCCGTGCTATGATTTCGCATTAAACAGTACACGAAACTCCATCCCTACACGCCCGGGCTATGATTTCGCATTAAACAGTGCACGAAACTCCATCCCTACACGCCCGGGCTTCGCGCGTCTTCATCCCGATTTAGGATTTAGGAGGATGTAATTCTCTTCCCCGAATAAATTGCTTTTTTCTTCTCGCGCGCTCTGCATATATCGTGCCTAGATGAGAGAGAGAGAGAGAAAGAGAGAGAGAGGCAGAAAGAGAGAGAGAGAGAGGGAGATAAAGAAAGAAAGAAAGAGAGAGAGAGAGAGAAAAAGAGAGAGAAAGAGAGAGAGAGAGTGTGTGAAGAGCGAGAGAGAGAAAGAGAGAGAGAGACAGAAAGAGAGGTGTGTTGTGAGAGAAAGAGAAAGAAAGCGAGAGAAAGAGAGAGAGAGAGAAAGAAAGAGAGGGAGAAAGAAAGAAAGAGAGAAAGAGAGAGAAAGAGAGAGAGAGAGAAGAGAAAAGAAAGAGAGAGAGAGAGGACGAGAGAGAAAGAGAGAAGGGAAAGAGAGAGAGAGACAGAGATAGAGAAAGAAAGAAAGAGAGAGAGAGAGAGAGAAAGAGAGAAAGAGAGAGAGAGAGAGAGAAAGAGAGAGAGAGAAAGAAAAAAAGAAGAGAGAGAGAGAGAGATGTTGAGCGGCTGCTGGACTGCACTGCATCTCGGCACGGTCAAGCAGCGGTAAAGCACTGTTTGCTGCTGCCGGCCCGTCATGCCGCGATACCATTATCTCATTATCTACCCCGTGTTGTAATCGTAATACGATAGATATTATATAATTATTATGCTCTATCCATCTATTCATCCATAGTCCGACCCTCATTTATCCTTCGTTCCATCGATCAATCAATCCATCCATCCATCCATCCATCCATCCATCCATCCATCCATCCATCCATCCATCCATCCATCCATACCATTCATCCATCATATCCATCCATCATCCATCCATCCATCCCTCCATCCATCCATCCATCCATCCATCCATCCATCCATCCTCCATTCCATCCATCCATCCATCCATCCATCCATCCATCCATCCATCATCATCCATGCCATTCCATGCCATCCATCCATCCATCCATCCATTCATCCATACATCCGCCTATTAATCATGATTGCTATCGTCAATCGTGATGATATGTAAGATGGCAACAGTAAAAGCTGGGGTATTTATCCTCCTATTTTCGCCTTAGTTAGCCTGAAAATGTGCATTCGAGAAAGAAAAGAAACCAGCATTCTATACATA